AATGACTACATACATTTCCACAAAAGTATGAGTGCTGAAAGTGAAAATTCAAAAGTTTTCCAACATTCAAGAGAGATAACTTTGTCCAAAATCATTGAACCATGACCAAATTCAAACTTGAACTGCTTATTCTGAAGATGTATCTATGTCAAATTTGAGTTGATAGTGTACAACCATTGGGGAGATCATAAATGAATGGAAACTAAAAATTTCTGTTTTTTTTTTCAAAGTTTAAGAGAGATAACTCTGTCAGCTATCATCAAATCATGACCAAATTCGAACTTGACCAGCTTTGTTTTTTATGACATATAAACATGTTAAATTTGAGTTGAATATGTACAACTGTTGCGGAGATAATGAACGGAAACTGAAAATTTCCATTTTTTTTTCAAAGTTAAAGTTATAACTCTGCCAAAAAATCATCAAACCATGACCATATCCAAACTTGAAGTGCTTATTCCTAAGATGTATCTTAAGGTCAAATTTGAGTTGAATGTGTAAAATACCGTTGGGGAGATAATGAACGGAAACTGAAAATTTAATATTATTTTCAAAGTGAAAGGGGCATAACCCTGCCAAAAATCATCAAACCATAACCAAATGCGAACTTGACCTGCACATTCCTTTCCCATTTCCATGTCAAATTTGAGTTGAATGTGTAATACAGTTGGGGAAATAATGAACAGAAACTGAAAATTTGATATTATTTTCAAAGTGAAAGGGACATAGCTCTGCCAAAAATAATCGAACCACGACCAAATTCAATTCTGACCTGCGCATTTCTTTGACGTATTCATATGTCAAATTTGACTTGAATGTGTAATACCATTTGGGGGGAGATAATGAAGGAAACTGAAAATTGAATCAAGGGGCATAACTCTGTCAAAAATCATTGGACCATGACAAAATTTAAACTTGACCGGTATTTTCTCATGATATATCCATATGTCAAATTTGAGTTAAATGTGTGTAACCGTTACTAAAATAATGAACGGAAACTGAGGTAGAGGCGACACAAAAATGAACAAAGGGCAATAACTCTAAAATAAGGCAAGGCAGAGTTATGGTTCTTATGCACTGCACATCTACCCAATGAGATCTATTTACCTACAAAGTTTCATGTTGATACCTCTTGTTATGTCCCGGACAAGAAAAGAGGACGGACAGGGCATTTAAATTGACTAAGGGGCCATTTCTTTATTTTCTTTTGTTTAATAGAGGGCCATGGCCCCTTATTCTATTGTTATGGAATGAACTTTATTTTTCTCTTTTGTTCTGTTTACAGTTACATGGCCCCCTACTTCTCTTAAATTGCCCTTACCGACAACTGGGTGTACGGACAAAGCGGCGAGTAATTATGCTCATCCTTCCGACAATCGGGTGCATAACAATATACGCTGAAATTTTTTCAGGTGTATAAAAAGGTGAATTTATTTAGAATATTTTTATAGTTCCAAAGCTTATGGAAAGTTAAGACCAATAATTAATCTAAGGAAATTAATTAAATGTCTTTGTATTGTATGAACATTTCAAGCAAGAACATCTAAAGATAGTTTTGGACCTTATTCAGAGATGATTTTAATTCGGTTGATTATCTGATGCATATTTTTTTTCAGTTCCAATTCATTCTGATTATCAAAAATATTTAAAGTTTATATGGAATAATACACTTTGGCAATATCAGGTGTTACCATTTGGTTTAAGTTCAGCTCCAAGAGTTTTCACAAAAATTCTAAAGCCTATTTATGCATGGCTTAGATTCCATGGAGTACGCTACGCATATTATATAGATGATTCTTTAATCATGAATCAGGTAAAAGATGTTTGCGCACAGAATACACAATTAATTTGAAATACTTTAGAATCAGTTGGTTTTTCAGTTAATAAGAAAAGTATGTATGCATTCCATGTAAAAGAATTGTCTTTTTTAGATTCATTGTTGATTCAGTCTTATTTATGGTTTTATTAACTGAAGAAAAAATTGAGAAAATTTTGTCAAAAGCCAGAGCTTTATTACAACAATCATATATATGTAGTGATAAAAGATCTCGTAACTTTTATTGAATCCATAATTAATGCTTTTTATGCCGTTTTAGAATCGTAACTTATAAAAGGGATAAAATTATAGGTTTAGATCAAAGTTTAGATTAAATTGTCTGAAAAAAGTAAAGATGACTTAAACTGGTGGTTGAACAATTTAAAAGCTAAAAATGGTAAGCAAATAAGACTGAATAAGGTTGGTTTTTATTTTAGGACAGATACTTTGCTTACAGGTTTTGGCTGTGTTGACCTCTTAATGTCTGGAAAGGTTACTCAGGGTAGATGGTCATCATTAGAATTGCAATATCATATTAATTATTTAGAATAACTAACAATTTTCTTTTCTCTACAAACTTTGTATTCAAAGTGCACAAACATACATATACAATTTCAGGGTGATTCTGTTACTGCTGTAACATATATTCTAGACATGGGAGGGATGGCCTCTTTGGACTTAGATACATTGGCATCAGATAGTTGGCACTGGTGTTTGTCGAAGAACATTTTCATTTCAGCAGGACATGTTGCAGGGATAGATAATACTATTGCTGATTTTTATCCTAGACAGTTTTCAGACTCCACTGAATGGATTTTCAAAAGATTATGTAGACATTTCTTTAATTGTACCAGATATAGATTATTTGCATCCAGGATAAATAAACAGTAAGATTGTTTTGTTTCTTGGTACCCTGAACCAGGAGCTATTTTTAGTGATGTTTTTTCTGTCTCTTGGCATTCTTACAAACCATATTTTTTTTTTCACCTTTTGCTTTAATAAGTAAGATGGTAAATAAATTTTTTGGAGATAAAGTAGAGAGAGCTCTGGTAGTTTTACCATATTGGAAATCACAACCTTGGTTTCCATTAATGTTACCATATTTTTCTCCCCGTCATGCTGCCGAGAGAAAGACCTGTTGGTTCTCCCATACAATGGAAGAGTACATCCGCTCAGCAAATCTTTGAACCTAATTGCTGTAGTGTTATCAGGAAGGCACTCAATTATAAAGGCATTTCATCAGGAGCTGCTAATAACATTACCTCAGCCTGGAGACCAGGAACACACAAACAATACAATTTGGCATGGTAAAAAAACAGGTATATTTGATCTTGTGAAAGATCCCTTTTGTACCACTGAAGAGATAGTGGTCAATTTTCTGTATCATTTACATTTGCAGAAAAAGTCTTATTCATTATTGAATACCAATAAAGCTATGTGATGGCAAACATATTTTTTTGGAAATGTTTAGTGTGGTAATACTGTGCTTATTCCTAAATTTATGAAAGGATTTTTCATTCAAATCCCTCTAAGTTGCGTTATGAATTTTTTCCTGGGATGTGACTGTAGTGCTTAAATTTCTCAGAACATTATATCCTTTAAGAGCGCATTATCCTTAAAGATGTTAACATTAAAATTAGTGGCTTTGATAAGCCCTCAGTTGTGCTCCTAGGGCTTAGAACTTTAGTCTCTATGAACTTGGATTTCATGAACTGTGCTATTGATCATGTGACATTTTATTTTTCAGAGATTATTAAAAAAACTAGTAGATCTAATTCTTTTTGTGTAAAATTGGGAACATTTTGAGGAGGAACCACTTTTGGGTTTTTCATACTTTACTATATTATGTTAACGTAACAAGGAAGTTGGCCCCGTGTTCACAAAAAAAAATATCAGGATCAGGATCAGTTGATCCCGATTTTATTTTCATTGTTTAAAAACTAAAACTGACCGTATTATGCTAGAATCAAAATGGAACATATTCAAAATATATATAATTGCTTATTTGAAAAGAAACCATCCAATTATGGGATAAAATCAACAAATAAGAGAACAAATGCAAAAATAAACGGATCAAAATGAGGATCAATTTAAGGATCAAGATCAAAATTTGGATCAACTGTAAAATACCTATTTCTTGTAAAAATAACAATAAATTAATTCTAAAATTTCATAAACGTGCTATTTCAAGTCCAGTTTTATCAAGTTAATACTGAAAATTCAATCTAAGAGAATAAATAATGGAGAATATTCTAGTTTTTAAATTTGATCCTGATCTTGATCCTGATCCTTAAATCTTTGTGAACACAGGGCCTGGTGATGGATGGGGGCCATTATTGGAGTAAAAGCCAGAGGCGGAGCATGTATACACCCTCTCTTTGGATTCTGGGTTTTTTACAGCACTTAGCCCTTGTTATGAATTTTTTGTCAACAAGTTATCTTTAAAATATGATGTTTATTGGTTCACCAGTTTCCAGTTATGGGTATTGGTAACATGACAGGTACTTTCCAATTGTACTTTAACTTTAGTTTTTCTTTAAAAATGCGACTTGCAAAAGATAGCATTCATCAATGAAACGTATTCATGCTTGGCCTGCCGGCTTTTACTCCAATAATAGCCCCCCTCCATCACCAAAGGGCTTGGATGGGGGCATATTTTTTAATGGCCAAATATTATTGTCACACTTGCCAACTGGGGTTAAATAGTGAAACCAATTTTTTCATTTCCAATCACAATATAAGAAATACATTGACTGTCATATTTAGGAAACATTTTCATTACTTTTTAAGCACACATACTTAAATAGCTCCTTCTTCTGGTCAGAACGTTAGCAAATGGGGTATCTGTATTTTGTTCGAGCAGCCATATTAAACAAAAGTTACTCATGTAAGATATTTTTTAAACATGAATAAAATTTTTAATTGATTTTGGTATCATTTGAAAGCAGATGCTTTGAAGCATAGCTTACACAAACACAATTACCTAAATTAGAAAATAAACATTATACTGCAAATACATTTTGACTCTGGCTCTCATATGCATTCTTTGTCATAACATGCAATAATATGCCAATATTTAAATTAATACAAATTAACAATGTAGATACAATTTCCTACAGTGGATTTGTTATCTGTGAAACATTTAATACAACCTGAAATGGCACTACTTCAGGCCAGTGTTTACCTCATCAGGTAGGCTGTATCTGCTCCATACTTCACCAAATGTAGATAATTGGATTACTGGCAAAGTTTTATGACCTTCATTAAACAGTGAGACTGTAGAAACTAGATCAGCTAGCACAGCAATTGTCTCTCTTTTAACAACAACTTTGTAAAACTCCTGCAATACATATACCAGTACTTCCACAGCCATATGCCATGACAATGTTACCATCTCTGGTGTGTTCAGTTGCTCTGGAAAGATTCAGAAGAATTTATTTCAAATCTCTTCACTGATATTGGATTAGGATTCAACATACAGGCATAAGGCCGATTAGCGGCGGGGAGGCGATCAATTAAACAAAGAATCAAACTTTCATTTCTTAAGAGAAGTTTAATCCAGAAGGTTCTAAAGCCTAAAAACATAAAACTTTAAAAAATCATAGATCACTGGGGCACTTAAAATAGAATTAGAAATGTTGTCCCAATAGGACACGGGTTGCCCCCACCACTCCACTGTTTTTGGTCATTCTTAATGAACTCCAGGTCAAATATTTTTTGGGTTTACATATACACAAGTTTATAATCTTTTATACTAGTAAAGGGCAAGAAAACTTTGCAAATACTGAATAAATCCTCAAGCAACCCCAAGGTGCATAGTATTCACATGCCTGACCAACATTCTTGAAAATTTCAGGCCCACAGGTCAAATACTTTTTGAGCTATGCATGAACAAGTTGAAAATTGCATATTCAAGAGCAATAACTCTAACAAAACTGAAAAAAAATGCACATGCAAAAATCCCAGGTGGGCATAGCTTCACAGTGATGTTTGATCATTTTTCGCTGTAAAGTTGGTTGATTTTTACTCAAGCACTCAAAGATAATGAAAACAGTTTTAACTAAGTCAAGGGCAATAACTCTAAAAATACTAAATAATCCACACAAAAAAATACCCAGGTGCACAACTTTACATGCTGAGCAACATTCCTATAAGATTTCAAAACTCTAGGTCAAATCCTTTTTTAGTTACATGCGACACAAGTTGAAAATTGGAAATTTTTAAACTAATTCAAGGGCAATAAGTCTAAAAATAACTAAATATATCTCCACAACGAAAATACCATGGTGCACAACTACACATGCTGATCAACATTTCCTGTAAATGTTTCATGACTCTAGGTCAAATACTTTTTTTAGTTACGTGGCCGACACAAGTTTGAAAATTGGAAATTTTTACTAAATTCAAAGGGCAATAACTCTAAAAATACTAAATATATCTCCACCACACGAAAATACCCAGCTGCAACAACTAATACATGCTGATCAACATTCCTGTAATGTTTCAATGACTCTAGGTCAATTACTTTTTGAGCCACGTGCGAACACAAAAAGAATGGACGGACTGAAGGACACACGGACAAGGGTAAATCTAAATGCCCCCCCCTCCCTATAGTGGGGACACAATAATCCAGTTTTTTTGAGCCTCAAAGTCCAGCTGTAAAATTTCAGATTTGGCCCCATTTCATTTGTCACATGTATGTGTACAGTCAAACGTGTATTAAGCAACTGCGGCAAGGGAAACTCAAAATATGGTTGCATAAGACAAAGGATGAGAAAAGTCAAGTGATATCTTTCTTTTGTGCCGGGTAATTTTTTCAACTTCAGTTAATTTTAATATAAATGTTTTATAATTATAACACTTTGATAATCTAAATAGTGACTTGAGTAATAATAAGACACATGTATCAATGAAGTTTATAGTAGATACATTATGAAATAAAGAAGTTATAAAAAAAAATCATCTGAAAAGGACAAGGTTCACTAACGGAGCATTTTAGCCCTGTAATTTATGAATTCAAAAACCAATAAAAAAAAATAAAATTATACAAGTTTCTCAAAAAATGGACTTATTATCTATCTAAAACATGGCAAAATATTACAGTAAAAGGTATTTTTCATATCTAAAAAGTACATGTCATTTACAATGCATATTTGCCAAAATAGCAAATTATCGGTCATTTTTGCTGCTGCACCTGCTTAAAATAAGATATGAAGAGCCACATGCGACACTTAGTCCTTTTCACAAATGATGTGTGAAAATAGAAAAATGTTTGTATTCTATATCTTTTGTATATTATAATATCTTTAGTTTTAGACAAAGGAAGTTGGAAATTTTTTATTCAGAATGAGGGAATAACGGCAGATAGTAGTTTTAACGGAATTAGAATTTATTTTTAAAGCTCATGTAGTAATACACCCTCTGGCCTAGTGGATGTTGTTGATGACTGTCACCCAAGAAATCAGAGTACAAAACCAGCGGGTGACAGTTATTATTTTTTTTCTTTCTTTAGTTATCATACATAATGTACTAGTAATAAATATCAAAACCAAAACAAACTGAAAAAAATAAAATGTTTAGATCAACATATTTTTAATTTGGATGTATTCAACAAAAAGAAATGTAGATATACTGTGTCTGTGTACAGTGAATTTTAAGCTACAATAACTGCTTGATATAACATCACATTTCATGGAAAGATGTGTGCTTTCAAATTTTGCGGGGAAAAAAAAACTTTTAACTGCACCAACAAAGGGAAGATCAGTAAACAAGAACATTACCACTTGTTCAAGGAAAAACTCACTACTTATAAGTCAGGAACATACCTTTATCTGTTAAAAAGAATTCTGTAGAAAGCTAAGTTATTGTACAGTTAATTAATAGGCATGATCAGGGCTTTAGTTTCAATTTAAGCTGTGCTTCAAATTATGATTTGTTAACTGACAATATTTTACGCAAGCAATTTTAAGTCTATCAAAAAGCTAATAAAGCGGCTTTAAATGTATGTTGTTTTCTTTATTTCTATTTGATATGTAAGTTAATTTATTCTAATACTTAATAGTAAAGGGTAATTATTTTTGTTATAGCTATAGACTAATAGGAAAAAGTAAATGCTATAAAGGGCAAATAAGAATTTTAAATGTAAATTTGAAAAAAGTAGTGTGACCAATAGTAGCTATTTAAAATAATACTTATTCTTATTACTGTCTAACCAACCTAGTCGTTCGTAGACCCTACTCACCCAGTGTTTAGATGGTTTAAAATAACTGCTATTTATTACTAGTCCTGTACTTGTTCTGTTTGGAAAATCATGACTTTTTTTACTTTATCTTAACTTGCAATACAGAGGCTACGACTTTCAAAATGAGATGGTACGATAACACGCAGGTGAAAATGCCATATTACGATGATGAAAAAACGATAACATGATCATACCATGGCAACTGTACTATTGTGCCACCATGTTTCACCAGTGTGTCAGCACCTACAATGGTCATGCGCAGTGATACAGATTAATTAACATTACAAAGTGCTTAAAGCTAGCTGCTCGGGACCATGACTGTATGCTTAATCCAATGTTTCTAACATGAACAAGGACATAGCATCTTGCGAGAAGAGTTATTTCTTTTGACTTTCTGTCATAATTTTTAACCATGTAGTAATCTTAACTTATAGGGAACTAGTATATTTGGTAACGGGTATTATAACAAATGTAATTTATTGTTTACATTTATATATAGCCTTGTTACGAGTCAGTCAGAAGATTTGTGAATAAATTATATAGGGTATCGTGCTATTTCAGACAGATTTACAGTGCAGACAAACTAGTCATGTCTAATATATAGACTGTCAGAAATTTTTATATAAAGGCCTCCTCATACGAAGAAAGTGGGAGATTTAAGACTAAACAGTGATATAAAATTGTTTGTCTTTCAGAACTAAAACATGTATGAAAACTTCTAATTATGAGGTTTGATATACATTCATAATTATGTTATATATTGTTCTGATGATATTTATTTTATATTGTAAAACCGTAAAAAAGTGCAGTATTATGAATATCATTTTACTGGATAATTTATTATGCCCCCCTTCGAAGAAGAGGGGGTATATTGTTTTGCTAATGTCGGTCTGTCTGTCTGTCGGTCTGTCCGTCGGTAGACCACATGGTTTCCGCTGATTATCTTGAAAAGTATTTATCACAACGTCTTCATATTTCACATAGTGATTGGTCATAACTAGTAGATGACCCCTATTGATTTAGGGGTCATAAGGTCAAAGTCACATGGGCCTTAAATGTCAAAATGGTTTCCGCTGATTATCGTGAAAGAATTTATCACAAAGTCTTCATATTTCACATAGTGATTGGTCATAACTAGTAGATGACCCCTATTGATTTTGGGGTCACTAGGTCAAAGGTCAAGGTCACAGGGGCCTTAAATGTCAAAATGGTTTCCGCTGATTATCTTGAAAAGTTTTCATCACAAAGTCTTCATATTTCACATAGTGATTGGTCATAACTAGTAGATGATCCCTATTGATTTTTTGGTCACTAAGTCAAAGGTCAAGGTCACAGGGGCCTTAAATGTCAAAATGGTTTCCGCTGATTATCTTGAAAAATATTCATCACAAAGTCTTCATATTTCACCTAGTGGTTGGTCATAACTAATAGATGACCCCTATTGACTTTGGGGTCACTAGGTCAAAGGTCAAGGTCACAGGGGCTTTAAATGTCAAAATGGTTTCTGCTGATTATCTTGAAAAGTATTTATCACAAAGAAGTCATATTTCACATATTGATTGGTCATAACTAGTAGGTAACCCAGTTTGATTTTGGGGTCAATAGGTCAAAGGTCAAGGTCACAGGGGCCTTAAATGTGAAAATGGTTTCTGCTGATTATCTTGAAAAGTATTCATTACAAAGTATTCATATTTCACATAGTGATTGGTCAAGGTCACAGGGTCTTTGAATGGTAAAATGGTTTCAGCTCATTATCTTGATAATAATCACAAAGTCTTCATATTTCACAAAGTGATTGGTCATAACCAACAGATGATCCGTATTGCTTTTGGGGTCACTAGATCAAAGGTCAAGGTCACAGGGGCCTTAAGTGTCAGAATGGTTTCCGCATATTATCTTGAAGATTTGTTATCACAAGTAAGTGAACCTATTGATTTTGGGTTGAGTAAGTCAAAGGTAAAGTTCACAGGGTTCTTGAATGTCAGTTTGGTTTCGGCTTATTATCCCCCGCCGGGGGATATAGAAATAGTCTCCGTCCGTCCGTCCGACCTTCCGTCCGACATCTTTGTCCGGAGCATATCTCTAAAAGTATTTGAGTTATCAACTTGAAACTTCATAGGTGGATAGACCTCATTGAGGAGGAGTGCAGTGCACAAGAATGATAACTCTACCC